GTGTTAACAATTAGTCCCTCTCATCTCCAATCCCTTCAACTTCAACCCTAAAACTGATCATAATTCGTGATAGCCATAGCCGATGAGTGATCTGATCCTACAAGAACCCCTTTGAGCGCTCATTTGGTACATCACTACTAATCTCCCTCTCCACCACCCCCCGGCCTTCACATCTACTAGTGAGTCACACCCACTTTCTCGCGCAACTAACGACAACAAACCACAACAAACAACGTTGACAAGATTGTTGCATTGGCATTTTTATCGCTTTCTGATTAATGTCTAATATGATTGTTGCATTGGCCCCATGAAAAAAGTCCTACCTTTGCCACAATATATAAGTATATAGCAATTGTATAATCAAAATGCATAAATTATATACTTCTTAATTATATCCCACATTATTTAATCCCGCTCCAAAAAATTATTCTTAATTATACCACTAAATATCCTACTTTCAAAATATTTTCATTTTAACAATTATCTCATTTCCATTAAAACTGCTCCAATAGACTAAACCCCCCTCCCCAAAAAATTAAAAAAAAAAAACAAATCCTCCATAATATATTTCTTCCCTCCCATGTAATCCACTTGAACTTTATTAAAATCCTATTCCGTTTCAATATTGTTTTAAGGAAGAAAGTCGTCGTCATCTCCATCGTCAAACATGGAACCCATATTGCAGTGGATCCCACTCCACTAAAGCTCCTCCTAAACCAAAAATAAAAATAAGCATGAAGACTAATCATAGCTCTCCCACACCAAAAAGTAAAAAATAAGCGTGAAGACTAATCATAGTTCAAGATCTTAATTAAAAGTTAATCCAAACTCAAAGACTTAAAATAAGTGTGAAGACTAATCATAGTTCAAGATTTTAATTAAAAATTAATCCAATTTCAAAGACTTTGCTCTATAAATACCACCCCTTTCCATCATTCATCCTCTCCTCTTTCTTCGCTATAGAAAAGAGGTAAAAAAAGTAAGAACTCTCCTGCTTTTTCCCTTTCATATTTCGTTTCTCCATCCTCTTCAGACCACACCATAAGATCTGATCGTCTCTTTTCTCACTCTTCCCTTTATATGTTGTTATCTTTCTTTATAGAATATAAAAATTCTATAATTAAATTAAATTAAAAAACCACAAATTCATACTTTATTAAATAATTGAAATTGAGAAATGAGGGAAATATATTTGGTAGATCGAAAAAGAAAAATAGTTACAAATTCTTTATTATAGATTTGTATCATAATAATTCAAAAAAATAAAAAGCTACAAATTACTCAAGATTAATTATATTAAGTAAACAATTATTAATTTATAATAGTAAGTTTATAAATATGTAAATAGTAATCCTATCATCAAAATGCATAATTTATTTTCTTCTTGATTATCTA